TTTCAACTTTCCTGGACCACTGTGGCCTTGGGGGGGAGGGAAACCAGAGATAAGGGCATGAGGTCATTTTAGGAGCCAAGATGTACCAGGAGAATGCAGCCTGTGAGGCGGCGTCACAGCATACTTTAACATGATCAATTCCCTAACACTTTCTGGGTAGTCCAAGGGCTAGAGAGCCACTATCCTGGCAACACAGTACCCTGGACCCCAGTGGGTGTTTTGGGGCTGGGGTTGGGGTAAGGGGCAGAATGCACAGCTCAGGGGCAGGAGGTGCTTTGGGAGTCAGTTTGGGGCTGGTTTTGAAAGACCCTGTCCACAGCCTGCAGAGTCTCTTCTTCCCTTTTAGGCAGCTTCAGACCTTTCCCTTCACCGGGATGAGCCTGACACCTGAGTGTGAATAAGCAACGAAGGTGACTTTGAGGCTAGACATTCAGTACCACTGACATTTCCCTCTGTTTCAGGTGCCAGTATGGTCTGGTGGGACACTGCTGTTGATCTGTCTTGATAGTTTGTTCATCATGGATTTTTTTGACATTAATGTTTTAAAGCAAAACTTTTATTGGTACATTTTAGATATAAATAATGATAGCATTCTTCATAGGGAATTTGTACCTGTAAATGATATATCTTGCTTCTTTTTCTCCCATTCCCCTCCCCTCGCTTTGACCCCTTCCCCCTCCTTATTTACAAAAATTGACATTAATTTTGATTTTTCAAAAATATTACATTAAGCAAGGTGTGGCACAGGACCATAATCCCAGCACTCTGAATGCTGAGGCAGGAGGATTTCAAGTTCAAGCCCAGCACAGGCAATTTAGAAACTTAAAAGACTGTTTCGCAAAATACAAAATAAAAAAGCTAAAAAAAAAAAAAAGGAGAGAGAGAGCTGGATGGCAGTTCATTTTGAAGGACCTGGGTTCATTCTCCAGTACAGCCAAAGGCATTAAAATACTCCTGCGGGGAGCGAGCCAGTAGCAAAAATGAGGAGTAGTAAACAGTTTTGGCTAGAAAAGGTAGCCCAGCCAGGAGGCGATCGACAAAGACAAGTGCTAGATCGTGGGCCTAGTACCAAACAAACGTAGCAGTAGACAACCTGAGAGTCTTAAAATACATCAAATACCAAATTCCATGAATTCCAAAACAGTGGAGAACCGAGGACCAAGGTATGTTGTAGACTGAGTTTGAGAACCGAGGACCAAGGTATGTTGTAGATTGAGTTTCGTGGCACCTCTTCGACTCTCGCCCCCAGGGCTGGAATCTGGCCCGGGCTGGGGAAGTGGGAGGTGTATTCTGAGGACAGAGAGCCCTGCAGGCTGTGTGAGGTGATTTAAAACTAGAGCCTTTCCTGTCACTGGAAAAGTGCCCCAATCAGAGACAGGGACAGTATCTCCAGCCCAGTTCCATCCTATGCACTCTCCTTTTTCCTTTCAGTTTTTTATTTTTATTAGTGCAAGTTTGCACTACATAATTACATTCACCCTAGGGGAGCTGGTACCTGCATACATCTTAATGCTTTTTACGTTCCCTTCTCCTACCTTCCCTCCCTCCTCTTCCATTTTCTTCTCCACTGCGCTCAGGGATGGCTCCAGACCCTGAAATTCTTTCAATGCCATTAAATTAATTCGATGAACTTTCGTCTGGAGTCGCAAGCCCTGAGGTGCCAAGGCGAGAGCCGCGCGAAGTCTGCGAGCTGGGGAAGCGGCGGCGTCTGCACTGGGCTCCTGCAGGCTAGCGGGGTGGGGCGGGGCTCC